GAGGATTTCGCTCAATATCTGTATGATAAAGTCGCTCGGATTCGAGAAGGCCTTGACTCTGACTGGGTGGCCCCGGGGGAGGAGATGGGAGCAGGTCTTGAGACTGTTATATGGGAGGAGTTTGACTCTGTGGCTCCCGAGGACGTGGACAGGATCCTGGGGAGGCTGAACGCAACCACATGTTTACTGGATCCGTGCCAGTGGATTTTATTACAGAAGCCAGACAGAGAAGTGATTCAACAATGACTTCTGGACTAGCTAGTAAAAATCACCTAAATGCATGGTACAATTTATACTCTTTTTCCTATTTTAAGTTTTGATGAGATTTGTAAGAAGTTTGTTCTTCTTAATTTTCTAGCTTGGTTTTTTCCCCCCTTTCAGCAGGATTGATTAATCCTATCACCCAGGGAAGGAAATAACTTGATGAAATTTTTGTGTATCTAGGTTAATCTTGCCATAGGCGCTGGTGTGTCTGGGGTTAATCCTGTTATTGGTTTCTATGTGTATATAGGGCAAACCTGTCAGCTTTCTTTTGGTTTGTTCAAGGCTATTGCTTATCACAGGTGGGAGAGGAGAGAGAGAGAGAGAGAGAGAGAGAGAGAGAGAGAGAGAGAGAGAGAGAGAGAGACCCTCTTCTCTGGTACTTTTCTTTTTCGGCTTGACTTTTCTAAGAGAAGGAAAATGGATGTTTCTTTTGGAGCAGCCTTTCGTATTTGTAATAGTTAGTTTCCCGGGCCTAGGCTTTCTACCTCTTTTCCTATTGTTCCTGCCTGTTTAATATTTCCCAAAGGTATTTCTTTTTCATGGGTATCTACAGTACATGCTAACTTCTAATTATTGATTGAATCAATAATCCATTACAGCCATGGAGCAAGTTTCGAATTAACACCGGAGTTCAGAGATCTCAAACCAGGGGTGGGGAACCTTGGCTCTTTTATGGCTCATGGACTTCAACTCCCAGAATTCCTGAGCCAGCATAGCTCAGCTTGGAAACCTTTCCCTTTCCCCTCAGCGTGGCTGGCTCAGGAATTCTGGGAGTTGAAGTCCACCAGTCATAAAAGAGCCAAGGTTGCCCTCCCCTGTCTTAAACGGCTGCTCCGCGGGAATTGCATCCCATGAGGGAAGCCGAGCGAGGGATTTACTTTGGAAACTGGCCTTTGTAAGTCTAACCAGACAGGCTAAAGCTGACAGCTGCTCTTTGCTAAACTCCCCTCCCAAAAAAGCAATGTTGCAAAAAGAGAAACCAGTGAAGGAGCCAAACTTTTTCCTTCGACCTTCTCCGGAGGAAAGAGGAATGCGACATCTGCCAGGCGATTTTTCTCCAAATTGGCACCCAAAGCAAAGGGAAAAAACTGCTGCGGAGTTTCTAAAAACTCTGTGCAGCCCAGCCCCTCCTGCACAGCTGCCGCGATGCCCGGCCACTTGCTTGTCCAAGATGAAGTACAGGTCGAAGCCCCGTAGCAGGTGGTGCCCCCTCCTCTTGCTGCCCCCCTCGCCCGTTACAGGGGACCATCAGGGTGTTCAGAAAGGAGGGGAAAAGGCTGTCCAGAAGTGGGTTTTTTTTGGGGGGGGGGTTAGATTTCCCTTCTGCTTTGCTTTCCCTCCGGTCCGTTTTCAGGGCGCCTCTGCCTTGCGCTTCCAGCACAGCTCAGCCAAGCCCGCTACTGTCGGCAAGGCGATTGGCAATTTCCGGTTCCTGTTGCTTTGCTTTGCCCCAGATTTGAGGAACATGGAAGCCTTCTCCCTCCTCCTGGCCCCTTCCCCACGAAGGAAAGAGCCGGAATCCGGGGCTGATCCTGGTGCTTCTGCTGAACCCTGATAGCCCTGCAAGCTCCAGCTCTCTCTCACTTAGGCTTGTGCGGTGCTGCTGCCGGTTCAGCTCATTCCCCTCCCCCACTACCACTTCTAGGATGGTTGCGTACCACCTGCCAGGTGCCAAAGTACCACAGGTGGTACCCGTACCACCGGTTGAAAAGCCCTGTGCTAAAATACTGACAGCCACAAGGAACCAACAAGGATGCCGCGGGTTACTTCAGAGTAGTTTACAGAATTACAGGTTGTCCTCGACTTACAATCACAACTGAGCCCAAAATTTCTGTTGCTTTGTGAGACAGTTGTTGTGAGCTTTGTCCCATTTTATGACCTGTCTTGCCACAGTTGTTAAGTGAATCACTGCAATTGNCCCAGTCTTTTTGGGGTGGGGCAGCTATAATATATTCATCATAATAATAGGAATGCATTTGAAATATTGTGTTTTGACTCACTGTTGCTTCAGATACCCCTTGGCGCCAGAGCACCCGTATCCAGCTCAACAACTCAGCTGCTACACTGCCGTATCACATTTTCTGAGGAATGCGCAGGACTACGGGGTGGACCCTAAATGGATCGTGCTGGCTGGTGATAGCAGCGGAGGCACACTTGTTGCCAGCACTGCTCAGCAACTTCTGATGACAAAGGACCTGCCACAGCCCCGGGCCCACATACTAATCTATCCTTTCCTACAAAGTCTGGATTTCAATTTACCTTCTTACCAGCAAAACCAGTCTATTCCCCTCTTAATCAGGAAAGATGCTGTTCGTATTGGCACATTTTATCTATCGGGAACCAATGCCTGGTTCAATGAAGTTATGGCCAATGCCCACATCCCGCAGGAACTCAGGGAAAAGTATCAGAAATGGATAAGTGCAGAACATATTCCGGAGGAATTTAAAGGCCGGGGTTACGTGCCGTTTGTACCTGGTCCGTTTTCAGAAGATCTTTTCAAAAAATGCAAAAGAGCTTTTGACCCCATATTTTCCCCACTCCTGGCGGAAGACGCCATCATCCAGCAGTTTCCAGAGACTTTCCTTTTAACCTGCGAATACGACATTTTCCGAGATGATGGCTTGCTCTATAAGAAGAGGCTGGAAGACAACGGTGTCCCTGTCACCTGGGTTCACCTCAAGGACGGATTCCATGGGATCGCCTTGCTGATAGATATGGGGTCAATACAGTTTCCAGGTACGAGGAAGAGTATAAATAGTGTAATCCAATTCCTAGAACGATTCTAGAAATCTAACAGCCTCATTCCTCTGCCTTCTTCATTTAGCTCTTGATCTGAAGAGGTGATACCCTATAATTTCATCCATCTGTCCTGCTTAACTGACCTGAAGATGGTCCACCAACTCTTTAAAGAGACACATCCTTGCCTTCTCCAGCTTGTTCATAGCCCACCACTCAGGTGGTCTGGTGTCAGGCTGTGCCAGGAAACTGTGGTTTTCCCTGTTACCCAAAAACAGAATTTCCCTTATGGACAATCTAAGTGGCACCAAGGCACAGTTGGGAGAGTGGTCAGACGTCTAACTTTTGCGTTCTCCTCCTCCCTATAGTCAGGACAGTGGTTCTTTGGAATATCAAACTTGTGGAGAATGTTGAACATGACAGCACAAGGAAATAACAGCCCATCGCCAACCATCAACACCCCAATCAACCAATAGGAAGGCACCACATAATTGCGACTCACAGAATAGCCCAAAGCGCATATAGGTAGTCCTCGACTAACGATCACAATTGAGCCCAAAATTTCTGTAGCTAAGTGAAACATTTGCTAAGTGAATTTGCCTCATTTTACAATCTTTCTTGTCGTGTTGAGTGAATCACTATAGCTGTTTAGTAACACGATTGTTAAGTGAATCTGACTTCCCCATTGACTTTGCTTGTCAGAAGGCAGCAAAAGGTAATTACATGACCCCAGGACACTGCAGCCATCATAAAAATGAGCCAGTTGCCAAGTGTCGGAATTTTGATCATGTGACCCTGGGGATGCTGCAGTGGTCTTATGTGTGAAAAACAGTGATAAATCACTTTTCTCAGTGCCACTGTAACTTTGAACAGTCACTAAACGAAGTGTTGTAAATCGAGGGCTACCTGTATTCCAGTAAAGAGAGGTTTCCTGAGGTCAGCACGGGTCTGAATATTCAGAAGAGTAAACATCTGGTCCTGGTGACCGACCCAGATTGGATCTTGCAACGTTATCCTGGGACATGTATATGTGCCTTCATTTGTCATGGAAAACCCAGTGCAGCTCTTTCAGGAGACCATTATTGCCACAGGCAGACAAAAAATGAACGAAAAAAGGGATTCACCCCCAAAAAGCTCTGGAGGCCTATTGTGCTAGCCCCCCCCTCACCCGTTGGCATAAGTTCTGTTTCCTAGCAGGACCTTGCGTTGAACCGTACCTTCTTCTCATCTGTCTCTAAAGAGGCATTTCTCTCCAGCAAGACTGATGCAGTAAGATCTTAAGGGACCTCTCCTTGTTGACGCTTCCATCTCGTCTCTTCCTGTATCCTCTTTCCTTGCTCCCCTTTTGCTTTAGCAGCAGGTGGTCCCCGGTTGCTGAGCTTCTAGAATAGTGACAGCTGACTTCATGTGAACCTTTTGAGCTTCAGTAAAGACTCAAGCAACAAATCCCAGTCTGTTTCATTTCTATTTCATTTCAGTTTCATTTCTGCCCACCGCAAAAGGCAAGGGGAGAAAAGGGGAGGGAGGCACAGAGGTGTTGTAAATGGCATGGCTATGTTGACAGAATGAGGCGTGTGGGTCTGCGTGTGTGTGTGTGTGTGTGTGTGTGTGTGTGTTGGAAGGGCACAAACTAGCAAGCCCCTTTGGTGGGCAGAAGACTGCCAGCCCCTCATGAAACGGGGTATGTGTGTGTGTGTGTGTGTGTGAGAGAGAGAGAGAGCTCCTCTTCGATCAGGGACTGCAGGGAAAAATGTTAGGGAATTGCACAACCGGTGTCCAAATGGGGGCAGAGATGCTGACACAAACATATAGTTCTATATAAATAAATATATTAATAGTAAATAAGATAATCAGGCAAATGGGCAGATCAGGTAAATCAAGGCATCATGAGGTAAATTACAGAGGGCACTCAGAGGAAAAAAGGCGGGAAACAAGGAACCTTCCCCTTTTCACTCAAGGCAACCAATCACAGCTTAGATTGCCTCGTGCAGTGGCCAGCCCTCTTCAACCAATCAGCTATAACTGTGTGTTCTGATTCATTGTCCAACCCTTCACTGCTCCAGCTATTAAATTAAATATCTTAACAAAGAAGAGGAAAATGTGGTGAGGAAAGATGAACCAAGCCCCAGATTAGACCTCAACCTGAATTAGGCAAAACAGCAACTGCCTCATCGAGCAAGCCAGGATGGGTCTGTGAAACCCCAGGTAGTCCTTGACCTACGAATGCAATTGAGCCCAACATTTCTGTTGCTAAGTGAGACAGTTGTTAAGTGAAATTTGCCCTATTTTATAACCTCTCTTGCCATGTTTGCTATGTGAATCACTGCAGTTGTTAAGTTAGTAACAGGGTTGTTAAGTGAATCTAGTTTCCTCATTGAATTTGCTTGTCAGAAGTTCACAAGAGGTAATCGCATGATTCTGGGACATTGCAACTGTCATAAATATGAACCATCCAAAGAAATATCTTGTCTAGTTTAATGAAGAGACGGACGAGGGGGGACATGATAGCAGTGTTCCAGTATCTCAGGGGCTGCCACAAAGAAGAGGGAGTCAAGCTATTCTCCAAAGCGCCTGAAGGCAGGACAAGAAGCAAGGGATGGAAACTAATCAAAGAGAGAAGCAACCTAGAACTAAGGAGAAACTTTAACTTTTGTGCTCTCCTCCTCCCTATAGTCAGGACAGTGGTTCTTTGGAATATCAAACTTGTGTAGAAAGTTGAACATGACAGCACAAGGAAACAACAGCCCATCACCAGCCATCAACAGTCCAATCAACCAATAGGAAGGTACCACATAATTGCGACGCACAGAATAGCCCAAAGCGCATATAGGTAGTCCTCGACTAACGATATATCCCCTTTAATAAATCAAAACCATTATATATATTACCTGGGTTAATCAATAAATCAAACATATTCAAAATAATTGATTTGTTTTCTTTTAGGTCTAATTTTTAAATATTAAACAGATAAAATCCTTATTTTCAACTAATTTCCAAATATTTTAAATCTAATGACCAGAATTCCCCTTATCTCAACTTCTCCCTTTAACCCTCTAATTAATAATATGAAATCCCCTGTAATAAATCAGGGCTTTTCAACCTTTTCACCCATTCTACCACTTTTAGGATATGGCAATATCCAAGTACCACCAGTCGCCTAGCAAGGTGTCAAAAACTTGACCCCCCCCCAAAAAAAGGAAAAAAATGATAAAGTACAGGTAGTCCTAGACTTACAACAGTTCGCTTAGTGACTGTTCGAAGTTACAATATTTAAGAATACAGCCAATATTTAAGAATACAGCCCCAAACCTCTTATGCACACACAATGCATCGTGTCAGTTGTAGGACAAATAACATGAGCAAGCATTTTATTTCCTCCCTGGATACAATTCCTGCAGCTGCAGAAAAAGCAGCAAAAATAGAAAAAAAAGAGAGAATGTGCATTTCATTAATGGAGAACAAAGGAACTGTGAGTAACTCAGACTTAAGAGGAAAAAATAGGCTCAGAATAAATAAAAATAAAAAATAGTTGACACTGCCAGAAAGCGGATTTTATTACAGAAGCCAGACAGAGAAGTGATTCAGCAATGACTTCTGGACTAGCTAGTAAAAATCACCTAAATGCATGGTACAATTTATACTCTTTTTCCTATTTTAAGTTTTGATGAGATTTGTAAGAAGTTTGTTCTTCTTAATTTCCTAGCTTGGTTTTTTTTCCTTTTCAGCAGGATTGATTAATCCTATCACCCAGGGAAGGAAATAACTTGTTGATGAAGTTTTTGTGTGTCTAGGACGGTTAATCTTGTCATAGGTGCTGGTGTGTCTGGGGTTAATCCTGTTATTGGTTTTTATGTGTGTATAGGGCAAACCTGTCAGCTTTCTTTTGGTTTGTTCAAGGCTATTGCTTATCACTACATTGTTTCTTTAGAGCAGACATGTCAAACACGCAACGTATTGGAGCTTTTTCGCCATTGCCGGCAATGGGGTGGGCATGGCTCCGGTATGATGAAACGGGCCCGTGGGCCGGCAATTTCATCCCCTGCTTGAGAGTTAGAGAGAGAGAGAGAGAGAGAGAGAGAGAGAGAGAGAGAGAGAGAGAGAGAGAGAGAGAGAGAGAGAGAGAGAGAGAGAGAGAGATTGTTTCAATTTCTCTCCTCAGGACATCACTACAGAGCATTGCACGCCAAAACGACTAGACACAGAGACTGTTTTTTCCCTCCTGCCATCACTCTGAACACCTACAGTACTGGGCAAAGGTTTTAGGCAGTTGTGCAAAAATGCTGTAAATTAACTATGCTTTCAGAAATAGAAGTCTTCCTAGTTTATTTTTATCAAGTAACAAAATGGAAAGTAAACGAGCAGAAGAGAAAGCCAAATCAAATCTACATTGGAGTGACCACCTTCTGCCTTCAAAACAGCGTCAATTCTTACACTTGCAAACTTGCACAAAGTTAGCAATTTTGTCCGATTAGTGTCAGGTAGATGATTAATCAATTATATGAAGCAGAGGCTAATGATCATCAATTTCATATGTCGGTTGAAACACAGTCATCAACTGAAACAGAAAGAGCTGTGTAGGAGGCTTAATACTGGGTGAGGCACAACCAGACTCTGGTATTAAGGTGAGGTTGTGGAAGACAGTTTCATGCACAGGACATACACCACGCAAAACCAAGCACAGGGACAAGACAAAAGGTAATTATATAGGTAGTCCTCGACTTACGACCACAACTGAATCCAGAATTTATGTTGCTAAGTGAAAAAAATTGTTAAGTGAGTTATGCCCCATTTTACAACTTTTATTGCCACGTTGGTTAAGTGAACCACTGCAGTTGTTAAATTAGTAACATGCTTGTTAAGTAAATTCTGGCGTCCTCATTGACTTTCATTTTCAGGAAATCGTAAAAGATGATCATATGACCCCATGGTGGGATTCAACCGGTTTGCACCACTTCGGCAGAACCGGTAGCTAATTTTTTGTTGCCCAGGCCCAGAGTGGACTTCTGGAAGCGGCATCCACACAGAGAACCAGTTGTTCACATATTTGAATCCCACCACTGCCCGG